AACCCGTCAATCGCGCATGCTGCTCCCTAACGGTTGCCATTGAGGAACAAGAAGCCAGGTTTAAGTACCCTGGTTGACCAGGTCACCAGGTGCACCAAACAAGGAGCAAAGCTCCCAAGAGTTGACATCAAATCAAGGATTTTGTTCGCCCAAACTCTCAACCCAAGATTCTGCCAAGGGGCAAAACACGTCTAGGAAGAGCACCAGCCCGAGAACCATTAACGACGCTCCAGGCATCTCTTCCGGCTTCACAACCAGCACCCGGGTGTGGCTCCGCGCATAGAGGGCGAAGGCCAGCAGCGCCGCTAAGTTGAGGACGTAAAAAATCCTCAGGCACAGCGGCTATGTTGCAACCTTCGGGCTAGACCAGGCATTCACAGGTTGCAACTCAAATGGCTTGCAGGAGCTCCAAGACACAAACTGGATATGCTGGTCATGTACCAAGGAAGCGACGGTGTGCCTTCGAATGGAAAACGATCCCGCCACAGCAAAGCTTTTCGTGGAGGCGGGCAAACCATCCTCACAATTCGACGTCGAGTTGGGCGTCTCATGGCATCGCTCCCCATCGTTCCCAGGGCTGCCCTGAACCGACTCCCTGAAACATCTCACAGGACGTGGTGAGCAGAAACAGCTTTGACCAAGGCAAGGCCCCAGTTCTGCCAAGGGCAGGAGTTGCTACAACTCACCTCAAGCCACCAAGTTTGCCTGGAGTCCATACATATCTTGCAACACAAAGTCCCCGGTGCCCCAAATGTCTGTGTGTTTGACACCTTCAGACAGAAGTCGGGTAGACTAGGAGTGTGGGCTCGCGGGATAGACCCTACTCGCTCATAGGTCGAAGACCTACCTCGTCCTACTATGTATCTACATATATACATGTATATATATATATATATAGTCCCCTTCTTGGATTGGACCTGGTAAGCAACAGCATCAATTTATCTCGCTCAACGCGAAACCACTGGGCCCATCAAAGCATGCCTCATGTGCCAACAGCGGAGGCTGGCCCCGGTGTGTGTGTGTGTGAAAACCATCTAAAAGGATATTCAAAGTGAACAAGCGCATTCCCTGTCTTGTAAAACAACCTCGGAGTCATTGCACCCTGAAGCGTTCGATTTGGCCCCTTCCAAATGGGCTTGTCTTCAGGGGTGTTTCTGAAAATATGGACCCCCTTTTAGTTGGTATTTAAAAGGAAGCCAACGAGAATCGACCATTTTAGGGGACCCCTATTTTGAGAAACCCCTTCCTGGGGAGCCAACCTCTTGCTGGCTTTGCAAAGTCAAAGGGGAAAAGTCTTCATGCTGGCGGCGGTTGACGTGCGGACACATGTTCCCCTGCTGCCAAGGAGCTGTGAACACAGCACGAGTCCCAGACCCGGGTGCCTCGCAAATGCTTGTTCAGTCCGGATGGGGGGGGGAAGGGCTCCAGGGCCCACCAGCGGAAAAGGACCACTCTGAAAGCCTGGCAAGGGGAATCCCAACATGGGTCGGGGCAGGCGATCAGATTACAAATGCCTTTTTGTCAGAGAAAAGATCTTCAGGGAAGTCGGGATGAATCTTGGTGTGCCACTCACCTACTTGACTCCTTCTTAAGCGTGGCACTTTGCACGTCAAATGTCTTAAGCCGCCAAAAGGCAGCACCGACCGCTCGGCGCTTTGTCACCGACATCTATCCGTTCAAATAGCCTTGATGATCCCTGGGAGGCATCATCTGCCAATCAAGCAGAAGGGGCGCCAACCCAAGTGGAGCTGGTCGTAGCAAGGTGCTTCGACTACTTGACTTGCTCAGCCAATGCAACAGGTCAGCCCTGTCCAGATGCGCTGCATACTGAGAGAAGACATTACAGTTGTCACAGAGGAATGATTGATACACCGCACTGGCTCAAACCGTGTCTAAAAAGCCAAATGGCAAGCTGGCAAGCTGCAGTTGTCCATTGGATAATCATTTGCCACCTCTCATGGAAAGAGCAAATATCTCTACTGCCTCCCTTCGACAGCTCTGCGCTAAAACAAAACCTGCCCTCTGCGTCTCTCCTTTGCATCTGAACCTCACCTTGGTACCTCTAACTCCCGAGGTGCAACTGCCATGGTTGCTGGAGGTCCACCACCTGAAAGGTGATCCGCAGCTCCGGATGCTGCAGCAGCGACAAGCAAGGCGGCACCTCCTCCATCGGGCGATGGACGGCGGACCTGCGGGTCCTGCGGGTCCTGCGGGTCCCCGCCCTGCCGGCTGTGTTTGCGCTACATGAAAGGTTCGGTGGGCTGCGAACCGAAAGGCCCACGGCGTCTGAGAAATGCCCCAAGGCACTCCTGGAACAAGGACACCCTCCATATGGGGTCGGAAAAGAGCCGGGTGAACACACAAAGCACGGGCTCCCACAAGTAATGATGTATTCTATGTATTTGAGTTCAGCCCTTCTTTGCTGTCAATGTTGCCGCATTCCCAGCAGTCCATGCATCCTGGAGGTCTGACCAGCTCTGAAGCATCCAGGCTCCCCTGCTTGCAAGCGCGAGGCAATGTCCGCAATCTGCACCACCTCTTGCCTAGATGCAGATCTTGCTTGCAATCTTTGAGGTGTGGCCGCATTGAAACTCTTCCTGTCGTTGCTATTGAGTGCAGGAAAATTGTGTGCCTCGTGCTTGATGTACGTTGCTTGCAAGTTGCCGTCAAACAATCACGTCAATCCAGCTCACATCCAAACTCATAGCTTGCGAAACCTTGACTGCCACGTGTCGAAGTGATCCACGCGAGGATGGTGGCATTTCGGGTGCTCTGATATAGTGTGGTTTTGTTGATTGGCCGAAAGCACATTCCATTATGTTACATTACCTTGCCTTACATTGCATTACAGCACATTACATTACATTACATTACATTACATTACGTTACGTTACGTTACATTACATTACATTACGTTACGTTACGTTACGTTACATTACATTGCATTACAACACACGATCACATCGCATTGCCTCAAATCACGTCACATCACATTACATTATATTACTGCATGCTACATTGCATGGCATTGCGTTGCTGTACAGAAAGTATATTACATTGCAGCTACACATATTTTATATATACTGTGCACACGCTGCTGTAAGTGTGTGCACCTGTGTGTATACATATGCACAGTGTCTATATATATATATATTGCATCTGCTTGCAGGCCAAATTGCTTGTTTGCTTGCTCGCTCGCTCGCATGCTTGCTTCCTGCTATGCTCTGCTTTGCATGCTAAGCATTGAAGCAATCAACAATGACTGCGTGAGCCACATGCGCGGAAATGCTTGATGCTTGCAATCATGGCAGTAACTGCCTGCGGGGAAGGGCACATAGCTTCGCGGACTGGCTGGCTGGCTGCGGGGCCGTCTCGCCGTTATTGTGTGGCAGGTGGATCAACTGCAACTCCATCGGCATTGCATGTTCCTTGAATCATGTTACTGCATGGAATAGTTGACAGTACCATTTGCCGGTTCCCACAAATGTGTCCCTTCACCCCGTTCCCACCCAGCTATGTCGAAAGGCCTGTCGGCATCCCAACCAAACAAATGGCCTCAAGTCCTCCTTGAGCTGCTTGTCGGCATCAAGCGCTCCCTCCTCTTCCTGAGCGCCAAAAAAAGCGTAAGTCTTGGTGCTCATGGCGCTCAACGGCGAATTTGCGCTGGCAAACGTGCCAGCTAAAGCACAGGTAACTTAACGAAATGATCTCCTTGAAGGGAACTGAAGCGTTTCAGAAGGTTGGTTGACCTTCTCTTTGAACGATCAGCGTCAAGCACCCATGCCTTTCCCTGCAATGTTTTTCTTTTGTCTTTTGGGCCAAACAAAGATACTAATTGTTAGGTGTACATCAATGCTGGTGGCACACGCCAGTTGCACCAAGAAAGTTTCAAGTTCCTTTGAACCCGAGTCAGCCGTTCAAGCTGCGCAAAGGCAACTCGCCTCCATCTGCTGGCGAAGCAATGAGAAGATGGCCTGCGGCAAAAGGCTTGCCAGCAAACGGGTTACCAGAAGGCGCACCCCCTTCATTGAGCAAATCATGTAGGGAGTGGGTAAAAACATGTTTTTAGGCATGTTTTGTTTGCCACAGCAGTGCCGCCAAGGGAGCTCATCTCTTCCTCCAGCCAATTGATGCCAAGGGGCACTGGCTCCAAGAGGAACCCAGGCTCAAGCAAGGTTGGGCCAACCCTCACTTTGGGCATGCTTGAACATCCTTCTTAAGAAGCATGCTTTGGGTGCCCACCCCTCAGGGCAGGGCTTAGCCCCTTGCCTTGCCTGCGGGCTTCGCCGACCTTCCCTTCCAGCCCCAAATCCCAGCTCCAGTCTCTAGTTCCTGGTAGCTCTCGCACCCAGCCCCAGCCCGGCCCGGCCCAAGCCTTGGACTGTGGCCTTGAGCCCAGCCCCAGCCTAACCCCTAGCCCAGACTCTTGCCCTTGGACTACAGCTCTAGGTGGGCCATGTAGAAACGCGTGAACATGTACCCGCCATACATCTTGGAGACTGACTCACTCCGCAAACGGCACGTCAAGGCAACCGTAAATCAAAGCCAACCAAACTCATCCGGCTGATACTGGCCGAGGTGGGCAGCGCGAAGCGTTTACAATTACACTTACACTTTCAAGGCCAACCACTTGCATGCCAGGGCCACGTTGCGGCTTCGACACCCTGCCTGCCCTGTGTCCCTGTATGGAAGCTCTCGGCCAAACCTGGTCAGATAGCAGAATCGCAGGTACAAGAGATCACTGGACTTCCGTGAGCAAAGCTGCGTCGTTTGTCCCCACAACAAACATTGGCCGTGACGGTTGGTGATGGCGAGGTTGAAACAAATGGGTCACAGAATGACTGGACAACTCAAGTCACTGGAGCACCGAAGCACGAATGCAAATTCTTCATCGAACCAAGGGGCAAACCTTGTGGTGACTCCGTCGAACAAAGTCCCTGCCTCCTCTGGTACAGCCACACAATCCACACCACCAGGGTCATGTTCACCAGCCTGGGACTCATTGACTCATTGCGCCCCAGCTTTTGGCTGTCGCACTGAGGGGTGTGGAAACTGGTGGCGTGGATATCAGATTATCGTCTATATCAAGTCGCCCCCCACATTCTTGTGCTCAGCTGTTCCTTGCCGCCCTTTTTTCATGGCCAGCATTCGTGGGTGTTTGGATGCATGCGGCGTAGCAGCATGCATACCCACCAAATTGCTCTTCTGAAAGAGCTGCAGCCTCATGAGAGGCATCTTCTCACCTGTACTTGTGATCTCTCATCTCCCTAATTCGCAGGGAGAGCCCGTTGGGCTGACATACGACTTCCTATCTCGCAGGAAGCGCGTTTGTAAAAACAAGGAAGGGACCAAGAACCAAAGAACCAAACAACAACCTACAAACAAGGGAGGGAGGGCGGGTCGCCGAAAAGACCCTTTGAGGTGAAAAACGGCCATGGGCGGAACACATCGCACAATTCACTAAGTGAGATTCGCCTCGGCCCCAAAGGGGCCAAGGGCGCTCAGATCTCTTCTCCAAAGAGAATCTTCGCTTTTCCCCTCCCCCAACCCCCTCCCCGACCAAAATTTTGCCGGGCCGCCCCCCCCAACCCATGTCGGCTGGACCCAAAATCCTGTCCGGCGGGCCTTGAAATTTTCGGGGTTCGTCGGCGTCCAGCTCCATGGGTCCATTTTTGTCGAAAATGTGCTGACAATTGCTAAAAATGCTTTTTTGTCCTGAAAAGCATGACCTCCTGGTGGCCAGGCTTGCCTGACGTGTCTGAGACTAGGCTCAGGCCCAGCCCAAAGCCCACCAGCCTCAGGCCCAAGCTTCAGGCCTACCCCAAGTCATCCAGCAAGCCCAGCCCAGCCAGGCCGGCCCCAAGGTCAGGTTTGTCTAACGTGTCTGAGACTGGCCTCAGGCCAACGGTGTCTGAAACTGGTCTCAAGCTATGCCAGCCACCAAGCCCGTCTGACGTGGCCCAGCCCTCAGTCCGGCTGCCCAAGCAACTCAGCCCAGGCTGGCCAGACCTTGACCTCCTGCTCGCGTCTGGCCCCAAATCAGCCAGCAGGCCCCGTCTCAAAGTGTGGCGTGTCTGCGACTGGCCTCAGGCCCAGCCCAGCCAACTCGCCACCCAGCCTCAGGCCCAAGTGTGTATGAAACAGGCCTTGCCCATCCAGCAACCCGCCCAAGCACAGCTCAGCCCAGCCCGCCCAGCCCAAGTTCCAGGCACAACCAGCAGCCTGGTCCGGCTGCCCGGCAGCCAGCAACCCACCCATGGCTTCGCAGCCTTGTGTGAGACTAGCTTCAGGCCCAGCCCAAAAGCCTGCCCAGCCCAGGCCCCAGCGCATCTCAGAGCATGCCAGCCACTACCAGCCCCCAACTCCCAGACCAGCAGGCTCAGCCCAGTGTGGTTTGTCTAACGTGTCTGAGACTGGCCTCAGGCCAACGACCAGTCTGAGACTGGTCTCAAGCTATGCCAGCTACTCAGCAGCCCAGGCTGACCAGGCCCCTTCAGCGCAGTCTGAGACTGGTCTCAAGGCCAGCCTGAGACTAGCCTCAGGCCCAGTCCCTCAGCCCGCCTGCTGGCGTGTCGACTGGGCTGAGGCCCGGCCTGGCCAGCAACTCGCTACCCAGCCTCAGCCCATCCAGCGACCCGCCCAAGCACAGCTCAGCCCAGCCAGCCGAAGTTCCAGGCGCAACCAACACCATAATCCAGCTGCCCAGCACCACCCATGGCTTCGCAGCCTCGTGGCTGAGACTACCTAAGCCAACCCCACCCAAGCCCACCCGGTTTGAGACTCGCAGGCTATCTAGCGCCGAGACTGGGCCTCACCAGCCTGGGCTCAACTAGCGTCTAGCCCAGCCCCAGTCCGCCTGCTGGCCAGGCCTGTCTGACGTGTCTGAAACTGGCCCAGCCATAGCCCAGCCCCCTCAGTGCGGCTGCCCAGCCCGCCGTAAACTAGCTTCAGCTCAACCAACAACCCACGCAAGCAAGGTCCAGCCAAGCTGCCCGAGACTAGCTTCAGGCCCAGCGCAGGCTTATCTGATGTGTCTGAGACTAGCCTGTGGCCCAGCCCAACCAGGCGAGGCCGGCTTGTCTGACTTGTCTGAAGCCAGCTTCAGGTATTCGGACCTTCCCAACACTGGATTTCGGTGTTCCTGACCCTTCCCTCAAACTAGGCTGGGCCGAGGCGGGCAACGCGAAGCGTTTACAATTACAATGTGCTCAGCTGTTCCTTGCCGCCCTTTTTTCATGGCCAGCATTCGTGGGTGTTTGGATGCATGCGGCGTAGCAGCATGCATACCCACCAAATTGCTCTTCTGAAAGAGCTGCAGCCTCATGAGAGGCATCTTCTCACCTGTACTTGTGATCTCTCATCTCCCTAATTCGCAGGGAGAGCCCGTTGGGCTGACATACGACTTCCTATCTCGCAGGAAGCGCGTTTGTAAAAACAAGGAAGGGACCAAGAACCAAAGAACCAAACAACAACCTACCACGTTCCCCCAAGGTAAAGAACCTTGGCCTGGACTTGGGCAATGAGGCCAAGTACGAAAGCAAGAAGCTAGTTGTTCAACTTTGCAGCATAGCGGGAGATCAGGTTACTGCTTGAAGGCGGAATGCGCAAATGCGCCCATGCTGCCAAGCCCTCTGAAATATACGTACGCGCTGACACGTTGGACGACCAGCGCCCCTTGATCAGAACCTTTTCCATGAGCCCGTGTTGGCGAAATTCGTGGGTTGCGCCACCCCTGCGTAAACTGTACGGTCTGTAAGGGAGGTGATGCAACTGGAAGAAATGGAGCAAAGAATAGAACTCGTTGCGGAAAGACTGGGCACTACCCTGCCAAAGGGGGAATTGGTGGGAATCGCGAGCGTGGTGTATATCCAGCAGAGTCCGGCACACTGCAACTGTAGGTGGGTGCCGCACAACAACCGTTTCATCGACATGCAAACGTTGGCCGGTTTTGGTTTCACCCAAAAATAAGACAAGTTCGCCCTCGCGAGCAAGGATGTCCTGCGCCCGTAACAGCAAAAGTTCCCCTGTGCGAAGAAGCCCGTAAAAACCCAAGAGACAAAGCGCGGCAAGTGCCAGCTTTGACAACTCAAGCGCTCTCTCAGCCATTGCATCCGCCATTTCTGGCAGCAAAGGTGGAGCTCGTTTTGGCTTTTCTTGTTTCTTCCAAACACTAAACAAGCGCCAGGATTGAGGCAAACGTTTGCGACACCAGGGTGCGAAATGGGATAGTCCTGAAAGAAGGTCACCTACTTGGCCCAAACTGGCCCCGTCTGCCCACATGTCTTCCACAATGGTGGCCACGGATTCGTCTAAATTCTGTGACGCTCGCTCTAAAAAGGGCAGCGCATGCCTGCAAGCAACAAAATAACGAACCAACGTAGTCCGGGAGACAGCAAGGTCAGAGAGAACCTTTCCCTTCCGCCTTGCACGTCTTTGAGCCCTAGTTGGTTTCATTGACGGCTTGCTGCGTCGGTTGGATTTTCTGCTGAGTCTACATGTCCACAAAGAAATTGCGACTGGGTGGCTAGCAAAACTGCACCTAGCTTTCTGACAATGAAATTGAGGGCTTTGCTTGAAGTTCGCCCCTTACTCAGCACGGAAACGGCAACATATGAGTCGCTAATGTGTACCCATCGCAAGTTCATGATTTTGCGAGCCCTCACTCTCCAAGTGCTGTTTGTAAAATTGCCCTTGCTTCTAAACAGTTGATGTGTTCCTGCACCTGCCAGCGGGAGGAAAACTGCATCTGCCAGTTCAACCAGGCAGCGCGCAAAGACTGTCTAGGATATTGCTTTGGGTTGAAAACGTGACCGCTGGCAACCCTGATATCAGAACCATTGTGGGTCACCTTTCGTGCCAAATGAAGAGCAAGGGGAACACAAGAGGCACCTTGATGCTGTATCTCATCCAGGCTTGAACCGTAGCACAGAGCACGTTGAATAGGAGCTACCCGATGAATCCCGCAAACTGCCCCAGGAGCCAAACCCAAACGGTTTTTGAGGTGGGTGGGGGAAGGGTAGCCGATCCACTTTCGGGTCAAGGCAGCCGCAAGGAGCATAAAGCTGGAAATGGCAAACCCGTCACCAATAAGCGCACAACGCTCGTCCTCAAAAGTAGCGGGGCTTCGCTTAGCAGAAGACGCGTTCATGCACAAAGCTGTGTGTTCAAAGCCAAAGCCCATCAACAGCTCTCGTTCGGACGCATGTGCAACTCTTTGTCTGTCCGATTGGTGAAAAAGATATTGAGGCTTGAATTGGTACGGAGGATACTTGTACGATTCCCTGGCCCAAAGTTCCAACGTTTCAGGCGCACAGCGATTGATTCCGGCAGGCATGTGGGGCGATTGCGACTTCCTGACACAGCGCATGAATGTGGGCAGCGCTTGGTGTGGTGAAGCTCTTACCCATCCTGGTTCTACCCACGCAGTGTCGTCAGGCCAGTCATCCGTCACAACCACATCGACATAAACACGTTTGGGATTCAGGAAAAGGTGAGGGCCCCCCTCCAGCGCTGCGTTTGTCCAAGCAAAGCGCGGCCGACACATGGGCACCTGATGGGAGGGGTCAAAACGATACTGCACCGACTTCGTCCGAAATCTGATCTCTGGCTTCAGGGTCCATGGAAGCAACATTCTCAAAAACAAACCGAATAGACAGGGCTGGGAAACATTGCTTGGCTTCGCGCCACACCCGCATGAGCTCATACAACAAGCCTGACTGCCTGCCTTGCAAATTCAAGCGTCCTGCTTTTGCCCGTGACAAATCATTGCAGGGAAACCCAGCCCAGATGTGAATTTCCTCAAGGTCCGGAAAACTATCATGCCATTCCATCATTTGGCGCTCGCCAAACTGTCGGACATCGCTGAAAAGGATCACATCCGGCCAGGTTCTGCTTGTCACTCGGTTTGCCGGCCCGTGCGTTTCAACAGCCACACGCGCCATGGGCCTGACACCACAGATGTCATATGCCCTAAACGCACCTCCAACTCCGTTGAACAAGCTAAGAATCAAGACGGGCGCCAGAGGGACCTCCTGCAGCAAACGCAATTCATTCAAGAGAAAATCGATGCCTTGGCTGGAAAGATCTGAAGAACAAGCCACCCCAGAGCCAGTTTCAGAAGCGTCTGAAGCTGTGATCACGTCGGACATGCGTGAGCCAAGATGCGTGTGATACAAAACTGCGCCAAACACGGCTTCCAGCAATTCTCTGCGGACTAAAGGCAACAGGTGGGCAGCAGACCCCTTGCCGTTGATGAAATCCCAAGAGAAACGGAAATGCGACATAGCTGCTCGGCGAAATTGAAGCACAAACACCCAGCGCCCCAAGAGAATCTGCAACTCTTTTGGTTTCACATGCGGGCGCAGGGACAGGAACAAACTCAACTTGCAAGTCTTGAGGAGCCGTTCCATGTCGGCTCCCATCCACTTTTGCTTGCCTGAAAAGTAGGCTCCCAACTCCTTCGCCTCGTGTGCCCCGCAGACACGCTTGTCAGGGGCCGAAAGAACGCCGTGGGCCTCCCAGCTCGCCTCTGCTGCCTGGTGCAGAGCTTGAGATTTATCACCTGCCTCCCCAAGTACCACTCGCTCAGCAGAGCAAAAATTGTCCAAATAGATATGCCACCATGCCGCACGCTGTTTGGAAGCAGCGGCACACACGTCATTCATCCATGTGGGGAGCGATCTGCCTCGCACCACCTGTCGTTCCTCTGGCAGGCCTCCAATGTGCATGAGTCTTTCTGAAACTTGCTGCATTACGCCTACCGCAGAAGCCCATCCCATGGGTAAGACTCGGCAACACAAGGCAAACTTGCGGGATGTTTCTGTTGGAGCTGCGTTGGTCAGGCCGATTTGGTCAGCGGTCACGATCAAATTGAAGGCCATATATGTCTGCCAAACATCTGGTAACCGAAACAAATAAAACGCGGCGCTCATATCACTTTGATGGAGTTGCAACTCTTCGTCAGGACCGACATAAGTGCTCAACCATTGAGTGATGTGCGGGAGTCTACCTACACCAGCTCGAATCTCTTTGAGGATGGAATTGGCAGGGACCAGGTTCATTATGAGCCTAAGTATCTCCCGACCCCCGGGCAAATACTTACCCTTGCCGACACCGAACAAACCTGAGAGGACCTTCTGCTGCCTGTATTCAGCGACTTCTTCAAAAGGAAGCCAGCGAGCAATTCCTCTTTTCACCAGCTCTTGCGCAAGCATCAGCTTCTCTCCTTGCGCTATGTGCACCTTGGCCTGGAGGCTTGGAAGCACCCGGCCATCGTCAGCCAGCAAGCACTCAGCCGGGTGCGTCAGTAAATGCCGAGTTCGGTCATCAACAAAGGGCAGGAGATCTATTTCACCGCCATGCCCTATTGGGGGAAGAGCGGGTAGCACTTGTTCTAGGGTCAAGACTTGCATGGGGGTGACCTCTTCTCCCGTGTATGACAAATGCTTTGACAACAGGTCCTGATGTATGTGTTCAGGGCCCCAAGAAAATGGGGACTCCCCCTCCAACATACGGGCAGCTGCCATTTGGAAGTTCTGCTTGATCTGAAGCTGTGCTTTCGTGGGAACCCCGCTTTTGAGTCGGCCGCTGCACTCCCACAACCCGTTGCAAAACACGGCTGAAAGGTAAGACCAAGCATGAATCTTGAGCTCAGGATGTGCGTGAACTAGACTTAGGACTGCAAAGGCTGAAGGCAAAGACCTTAGCTGACTCAACTCTGCTTCCCACATGTCTGGAATTGGAAAAAGCGCTCGTCTGCTGCGAGTCGCCCGTGAATGCTGGCCTACATCATGGAAAATTCTTCTTAAATAAGCAGGACAGTCTTGCAGCCCCACTTTTGCCCTTGAATTGTCGGAGAAAATCATCCAAACCATGGATGGTCCAAGCTCTCCCAAAGCTTGGCTCATACTTAGGACTTCGGCCCACGCACGGGGGAGCCCCAGCGCAGGCTTGCCCTGATACCATCCTTCTCTCTTCTCTGCGCTGGGCACGAGCTTTTCTAATCCTCCTTCGGCTTGTTGGCATCCCAGCGCCTGTCTGCTGCACCTTTCTCCCACACCTTGTCCGAGCTGCCCCAGCCCCCGGAGCCGCGGCCTTTTCCTCTCTTGCTCGCCACTGTCTTGTCTGCACTTTTTCCTTTTCCTTTCTTGTCCTTGCCCTTGGGGTCTCGACTGCGGAAGGCTCCCCCCTGCCAATCGCCTTGACCACTTTGGAGGAAACTGGGCTGCCACCTTCCTCGCCCGGACGGCCTGCCCAGCGATCTGTCCACCAGCCGCGCGTGACGCCGCGCTGCCAACTGCAGTTCCGGCGGGGGCCCCGCAGAGTTGACTTGCGGGTGGATTTCCAACCATTGTGCTGCATCCCACGCTCCGTCTTGCAAGAACTGAAGCAAAGACAGGTACCTTGCTGCAAGGGTGTCTGTTGCTCGCCCCAAGAGCCCTTGCCGGAGCTGATCCAGGACAATCGACAGCATGTGGAGCTCCCGCATCTCCTTGGAGGTCGCGTAGTGCGCCGGGCGAAGGATCACCGTGAAGTACGAGAGGAGTCGAGAACCCTCCGTGATGGAGATTGCCTCTTCCCGATCTCCGTGAACATCGGCCATCTGCTCCTCGACTCTCTGCAGTAGCAAAGCCAGGACACTGCCTGGGCGTCGATCTGACTTCCTTTTCAGCGGGGGCTGGAGGCGACCAACCTGTTCCTCTTCTTCTTCGTCTTCGCTCTCCTCGGAAGAACTTGAAGTGGTGGAGTCTGATGAGTCGTCGCTGCCTCCCGAGTCGCCATCTCCCCCAGCAGTGCGTCGCACTCTCCTTTCTCCCTTCTTCGCCTTCTTCTTCTTTTGCTCCTTCTTCTTTTTCTTCTTCTTCTTCCCTACCAGCAAGGTGAGCAACGCCTTGGCTGGCCCCTCGTCCTTCTTTTTCTGCTTCTTGGCTTCTCCTCTCTTTTCGCTGCTTGTCTTCCTTGTCACGGCCTCTGCCGCTTGGGCGACAAGCACGCCACTCAGCCCTCGCTTCTTCGCTATCTTTTCCAACGTCGCGCTGCGGGAGCTGCTGGCCTGAGCCCCTGCCTTGACCCATGGCTCCTCTGAGTGAGCCAGCACTCCCCGGGCTGGAAGGCCTCTGTCCTGGTGAGGGACCTCCACGCATGCGCCCTCGTGGGCGGCATCTTCCTTGAAATGGACTCGTCGGTCGCCTAAAGCTGGTTGCCCCAACTCGCGAGCCTTCAGAGCAGACAAACGGGCCTTTAAGCCTGCCACTTCTTCGCTCCCAAGGGCCAAGCTCCCGCGAGGTTCGCTGGGCAGGTAGGTCTCGTGCACGACAGCGTCGGGCTTGGGCGCGGGCGGCGCTGCCCGGCAATTGCCAGCAGACAAGCTGCCTCCCTGCGGAAGACCTGTGCCCTTGCCTTTGTCGGCGTTCGACCGCCTCCTTGGAGCCGCCGCTGAGGACTTGGGAGTAGCTGGGCTTGAGCGTTTGCGAGAAGGAGCATCTACCTGAGCATCCTTTAACTGCCTTTTTGCGAAGGTTGAAACGTATGGGGGCAATGGCCCAGACGCCGGATATGTGGTCAGAGCTGTAACATGGAAAGCACACTCCCCTCCAGTGTTGCACACGCCCATGGCTCCACACAGGTGAAGGTACCCTGGTCTGCGGTTGAAAGTGTTGCTGAGTTTCTTGGAAAGCTCTGAGTCCTCGCTTCCAAGGGACGTGACCCTCACTGCGAAGCCTCCATCCTCGGTCACGTCTGTGGAGACTACTTTGAAGGTGGCTTTCTCTGGGTCCTTGAAGCTGAAATACTCCGGTACATCGCACTCCAGGACATCGCCTTTCTGAGGGGTTAGTTCGATCCATGATTCCGTGTCAGTCACTGTGTACTCACGCGACATTTCCCCTATGTCGCTGGCTAGGGTGAAAGCAATCAAATGCTTCTCGCCCCAGTTTGTTGTGTGACTCGAAGTAGGACCTGTCGAGGGTCCTGTGGATCACTAGGTTCGGGTTCTCCTCCAAGCGGTAAAGCCTTTTGTGCTTGCGACCCGCTCCCTCTTGCGCTGCTGTCTCCTCCTAGGGATAGGGTCGCGGCTATGAGAACGCCTCTTTTCAACTGTGCCGGATCCTCTGGCTGCCTGTCCAGAAAACCTTGCTCTGCTGTCCCCACGTTCTCTGTGTCGCTTCTTTGGCCTTGCGGGAGTCGACTTTGGAGCTGCTCCTTTGTATTCCGCTCTGTCCACTGAACTTGCCTCCTTCTCTGGACTCTCCTCAACTGACACTCTGGTCTCCTCTTCTCCTGACTCTTCGTAGTCGGACTCGTAACTTCCCCCTTCTGGCTCCTGAGTTTCTGCAGGACGCTGGACCTTTACCCGGGCGGCTTCCTGCGCCTCTTGGATGTCTTTACTCCTGTCTGGGTCCTGCGGAGGGACTGGGCGCACCCCACGCCCCTTGCCCAGACCACCAGGTGCAGCGCACGGCCCAGTGCCAGCGCCGGATCCGGTAGGTCTGTATGTAGCACAGGGCAGGGCCCTGAGAGCTCGGATCTGCCGAGCGGTGGACACGAGAAGGTCCTCAGCCACCCGTCGGTGCCCAGGAGCTGACCAGGAGGAGGACAGTTCAGTTCCCAACACCTCCCAGGCAGCGCACCCAATGCACCAAAGATCACCTAGTTGTGGGCTGGTCTGTTTGCACCGTGCACAAAGGGGACTAGGCATTCGCCGAAAAGACCCTTTGAGGTGAAAAACGGCCATGGGCGGAACACATCGCACAATTCATCAAGTGAGATTACAATGCAATCATCATATTGAATATCATAGTATGGTTGCGAATCGTTTTTCTTCTTGTTTCAGTCAATGTATCACTTGGAAACCTCACCCACAGGCTGGTGCCTGTAGAGGTGAAAAGCAATATATGGGTGTGTCTTTTAAGGGACCCCCCAAAATGCTACTTGGCCTTTTGGCTTCCCTTTGAAAAAACAACACACCCGTATGTAACATCAATCAGTCCTGACAATGGTAAGCCATTCTGAACACGAAAAAAGAAAGGCTATCTGGCAACAGCGCACGCCCATCCTTTGATTCAGCCGAAGCATCCAAAGCTCCAAACACCGTCCACTACTGCTGAAGCTGAGTGCAGAAATGCTGAAAGCTTGTCCCAGCTGTGCCAAGTGTGACCAAGGCCGATATCTTTCTATATCTTTCTACCATTGAAATCTGATTCAACCAAAACCCCTATCCAAAGGTTCGCCCCGTGGGCCCGGCCATGCCGCGCCGGCGTTGGACCTCAGCCGGTTCAGCTCCTCGGGCCTGGGAACGGGCGGCAAGCCAAGCCCCTACCAGGAAGCCACCCCAGACGAGAGTAGGAAAATGATCCTTGGGAGGTCTCATGGAAGAGTCGAAACTGGGAGCGTGCCGTGCCCAAGAACTGACATATTCGATGTGACAACTCTGGAACAGAAGCAATGCCAAACAAACGTCCAGCACAGAATCCAAGATGCCAAAGATCCGTGTGTTGGAAGAGTTCAAAGATTGGTCTCCCAAGTCATCCAAACTCTTTGGGAGTCAACAGTCTACCGCCAATATAGCTGACAGGGCTGGTGCCCTTGTGGCTGTCAAACCCGACTGGCCGGAAAGATAAAGGAAGGCAACTGAGCACCAGCATGGCAGCTCTGGCCTGTGGGTTCAAGGTGAATCCGGCAGCTTCCCGAACACTCAACATGCAATTGAATGCTTTACTGGGAAAGCACATCATAGGAGACTTGCGTTGACAGGCCAAAGACAAGATCCTGAAGACTCCGATGACTGCAGCCCATTCATATTGACGGTCAAAGTACGAGCTTGTTTTGCATGTGCCCGGCAACAAACTCGTTCCAAGATGGCAAATCATCCAAAACCTTTTCCAAGCTCCGCGGTATCTGGGCATCCCCAAGGCGTCAACCCGCAGAACCATGATGGACAACTACAAATCCAAAGTGTGAATACTCTTGCCCAAAATCAGTTCAAGTCTCAAGCCTCATCAACCTGAATCCCACCCGCATGCACGCGCATCTGATTCCTCCGCTCAGTTGGCCAGCAGGAAGCTCTTTGTCTTCCAGGCGGCTTCATTCATGGACCCTGATTCGCGACAAAGTTCCTTATCCTGGTGCAAGCCTGTAAATTGAGGAAGCATTCAAACACAACAAGAAACAAAACGTCAAAGGGTCTTTGTCCGGAGGAATGCCACCGCGTTCTCGATTGTATCGGTGCCTTGGTATCTGGAGGCACCGTTTTATTCTGGGGCAATCCAGGGACCCCATATCTTCTCAGTTGGCCTCACTGGCCTCGCCACTTTGGGCTCAGAATCGGCGGAGCCCAATGATACTTCCGGAAGAACCACCTGAGCGCTGGCAAGTTCTCCGAAATCGATTGGAGAACTTTACTTGGAACCCATGTCTGGCCTAACGCTTTCTGGGCATCTGGGGGGTTCAAAGGCTTCGCTGTCGAGATATGCGTGCTGCGCCGTAAGAGTGGCAAAGGAGTTCATTGAAACTGACACCTCAGATACGGCCCACGGGATGCAAAGAGCCTAAAGAAAGGCATCAGTGCAAGCGCGGAACAGAAGGCACAAGCTGAAGCGGCACGTGCCTTTTAGCACTATGGCGCTTGAAACCAAGTACCAGCTGCTCAAATGTGAACATGTTTCTTCGCAAGTTGTACCTCCACCCCCACCCACCCACCCCCCCCCCCGCACCCCACCCCACCCCACCCGCAACCGCCCAAATTTGGCATCGACATTCGAGCGGTGCCAGATTTCATCCACCAGCACAACTGCTCCACTGACACAGATCCAGGAACTTCCATGGCTCGATTTGTCTTGCAGCGCTTCATCTTTTAGTGTCGGGAATTTAGGTATGTCCAATGCTGTTTATGGGGACTATGACATCTTGCTCAGCGCATTCAGACTCTCTCAACACCCTGAACAACTCAATAAATCGACCTGCGTTAACAAACTGCTCAAAGTTTCCCCTTGTCTGGTTGTCTGCCTCCACGCCTGTCCTGGGGGCTGTTGACTGCTGGTCAAGCATATCCCCAGCCCGCTGGCTGCCCCACGTCAGTGCCGCAGTGTAGACGCCGTTCCTCGGAGACCGCGCTCGCCATGTTTGGTTCACTCCAGTTCTTGTTTTTACCAAACAGGCTGTTGTAGCAGGTGTGGACTGTCAGGGTGTGGGCAGTGCTCAACGCCATGCCCATCCACAAGAAACACGAAAGCTGAGGTGGTACCCACCACTCCAAGCCTATCTGGGAGACCCCAAAGCGGAAATGATTCGCTCCGCTCCTCAAAAGGCATCAAATGGTTAACTTCAACTTCCTGTGCGCCTCACTCACCCATCGGATCCGGTGGACACACAGACATCCGACAAATAGATGTGTCAAAATGAGACATTCTCTTGGAGTTGTTAACAAAAACCAAAAGAGAAACCACACAGTTAAGGAGCTTCTTGCTTTGATGCAAAGCCGAATGGTCTTGATGACCAAGGAATCCCCAGCTCCACTGTCGAGTGGTACCATTGTGAGAATACTCCTTTTGGACTAGAAGAAACTTGCGTGATAGATATTGACAGCACACCGCTGTGCATGTATTGCATGTGCGTGTGCACATACATGCATGGATGCATGTGTATATATATATATATATACACACACACTACACGCAGTCTACATGTCTTGTGCATATATGTGGATATGATTGGCATCATGCTGCAAGGGGTGCTCATCACAGAGGTGATCATCATTCATCGCAAGTGGTGTCTTTTAATTGTGCCTTGTGTGCATGCATGCGCACGCGTCCATCAATCCATCATGAATATTAATATGACTATGTCTTGTTTAACCTCGACCAAGCATCGTAGCGATGAAGAGGAAGGTTGCTGCGGGCAGACTGCCCGCAGTCCATGGCACCTAGGCACGGAATGAGACAAGTGGGCAGACTTGGACGCGACCTAACTACAGACCAAAGTGAGAGGCAGTTCTCGCTCCAAATGGCCCAGAAGCCCTCCTCGCTACAGCGCAACCAACAGTAGGAATGGGAACTTCCACCGGGCGAAAGAAACGCATACCGCAAAAGCTGTCTGTCGGTCTTTGGTGACCGCATAAGCCAGCAAAGGGGTGTGTCATGCTATGTGAAAGAGACCTGCCACAAGTGACAAGCAGGTCTCGCTGCAGATGGTGACATTGTCTTCGTTCTAGCTAAGATGCCCTCGCTTGGCACAATGAAGCGCTAATGCTGCGGAGATGCAAACTTCTACTGGGCGAGAGAAACGAGAACGCTTTGCGTCAGTTGCACGAGAACGCTTGCGCTGTCAATTTGCCTTTAAGCCAGCCTTGGCGTGAGAGATGCATCGTGAGCGCGACCTGCTACTGGCAGAATCAATGCATGTGGGTTCCACCTGTGTGAGTTGCATATTTATCCCCGATCCGCAGCCCCCTCCGTGCTGAAACACTCCCAAGGAGTGCAATGTGAGGAAATGTTGTTGAAGCAAAGCGAGATTTGGATCGGAATAGTGAAACATTGAGAAGCTCCGGTGGGTTGCTAACGTCACCGTTGGCAAAAACAACGATGACGACAATGACAACCATCGCATATCAAGTGTATAAACCAGCAACAACAAAAAACAATAGTTGCGTACCCCCTTTAACATCTCTGTAGGTGTGGGCTGGCCGCTGGATGCCAAGCAACGATCCACTAGAACCATAAAAATCCCCGGCACATGATCTGAAATACAATTACATCTTACTGTGTTGGTCGTGTCTTTGCGGGTCAGCTGCTGCTGAATGTGAGCGGGACCCCAAACGCGTGTTTCGCAGGATACACTCCTAAAGCCAACCAGCTGTGTTGCTTGTCTACTTTGTTTGTCCCCAGCCTCTCTCGATCTGAAGCTAGAGTTGGCTTGCAGATTTGATTGGCTGAAATCAGGCCAAGAATCATGTCCAAACTTGATGGCCTCCCCCAGGATTTCGCCTGCTTGGAAGAAGTTATGTGGTTCTTGCACTAGCCACAGCAAGAGTCGGCAACATTGCCTCCCTCTTGAATCCTGCAAATGCGGTGGTCCAACGCCGCATCAAATGGATCTCTGGCCGGAAAGGCTGTGAAGCCCCTTGAGGCGAATTGCCCCACTGGAAGTCGCTGTCTGCGGCGCAAATGTCTTCCGACTGTCCCGCTACAGGGTGAAACTTGGCGCAATTCCACTGTGGGTAAGGATGACTAAACCAAAAGGGGGTTGTCACCCAGCTCCAGTGCATGTCTCGCCCAGAACTCTATCGACTTGAAAGCCATGCTGCAAATGTCAGTAGGGCTCCACGTATCACCAACTGGAAATACTTGGCCGTCTCCTCCTGCGCTCGTGCCACCTATTGAACTGAATGTCGCAAAGCAAGCGCTCAACTTTTTTGTTCAACCAAAAACCCAAGAAAGGCGACACTTGACAGGTCATGGCCAAAAGCAGCGGATACAATCAACTGCAAAACTCAGTATCTCACTTCCTGGAAAAGCGTCACAGCTTTCAGTCAGTCCGTCTCGCTATGCCCACTTGCGATGTGCGGAAGGGGGGGGGGGACTTGTGAACCTTGAAAAGCATTGCTCTCCAAAGGACACTGCAGGCCCCTCAAATTTGTGGTGCTGCGGCGTCGAGGGTTTGTCTTATTCTTCGACCTGAATTTGAGCAACAGCTTCTACAGCCATTGGACTGCTTCTTGAAACTTGTGCAGATGCGTCCTTGCCAAGATTCCACTAGACCTGGTAACTTTCACCGAAAATACCCAAATAGAAGAATCTGAAGAATTGAAGAATTGGAGCATTGCCTCGCACCTCCAACCTGTGTCCCTGTTGCCTGGCCCGGCTTGGGCGGGGTGGCATTCACCTCAGCGTTGCCCAGCAGCGCGAGGGCCGAAAGGCATGGCAGCACCCCGAGCGGGTCCGGCAGCAGGAGGCTGTCCAGCCACCTCGATCCACGCGCATGGGGCGCGCTTCTTTTTGCCATCGACGAAGTGAACTAATGCTTGAACCTTCAGTTCACTGTTTGTGGTGCTGAATAGGCGTCCTTCGCTTTGTGAGGCCATTTAGTTTGGTGACCATGTAAAAGGATGCAGAATTCCGCTAGTCCAAAGAAGCCAATGTCTCCGCTGCCCCAAACAAAAGTCTACACCGTGGCAATGTGCTTCCTTCCGGATGCGTTATCCCGCTGAGGTCCATCGCTGAACAATGCAGCCTCAGACTCAGCCGAAACAAGTACATGGAAGCAAAATGATACGAGTTCAAGGCGGGGGCATAGTATGAACTGAACATGTGGTCGTGCTATTAATCGCAAAGCCTAGATACCAAGCCAGAGAGGGTTGCTCCGAGCGGCTGGTGCCCGAGTTGTTCAATGCCCACGCTGCAACATAGCTGCGTCAAGGGGCAATTGCTTTGATCGTTCCACTAGCTCCCTGGAAGCGCCATGAATGATCTGAATGGACCTGTTCCCCCGTTGCTTCCTCACTGAACCGCCAAGGGACAAGCTGGGCGCCGTCGCAAAGTCGCGGAATGCATCCTTGGCCACTTACACTAAACAGACAACACAAGACTCATGCCGACTTCCATGGATGCAATGATGTAAAGCGTACGTCATATGTGTTGAAAGCAGAATCACAACCGGCCCAAAACGACTCTGCTCGCCAGAAATTCAACAACAAATGGCAAGCAACCTGCCTTGTGACATTTGTTCTGCCGAAGGGCGGGGTGCTGCATGATGCCATAGAGAGCGCCGAAGTAGGTGAGACCAATGGGCACAACAAAGCCCAGTTGGTAGCCTCCACAAGGCCCCAGTAAGTTGAGAGGCCCCGAATTGGTTTCTACGTCCAGTTTAGACTGCCAAATGTCAGAAACTCAACGGCCTGACAATGCCTGGCTCATGTGGTTTGAACATGGGTAGCGGACACAGTTGGCAATGCCTTTGGGCTGCATCAAAGCAAGTAGGCTACTCTCTCCCTGCAAGGTGCTTGTGCAGAAACACACAAATGCCTGCAACCAACTGTCCGTCCCCGGCCTAATCCCTGCAAGGGGAAGAAGCGCGTCTCCTCTGTAAATTCCTGAAGAGAGGAGGGACTGTATGGATGGTGCCGACTTCCAAAATGTACATCAATGTGGGGAAAAAGTGCAGGGCCACTCCAATTGGTTGATTTCGTTTGGCAATGCTTAAAGCCCACAGCAACCCAACGCCAAGTTGGATACAATTCCGCATGCACGTAAGACTAGCCGGCTGAAAAAGGCTGGCCAACTCTCTGGCTGCTGTCGGGCGGAGAGCTTGCTGCTGCCTGCTTGGTTTGTCCTTGCTGTTTGACCAAGTGGAAATCACAGGAAGGAGAGCAAGGGACAAAGGCTGCCCGTTTCAGTGACTCGATGTCAACCAGCCATTTGATGGGATCCCCATACATGCTGTTGGGGCTCGAGCAACTCCAGTAGTCGCCTGGGTGCCTCCTTGCCAAAGCCTGCATTCGTCGGCACCAACGATTGAGATCTGTGTACTGGTCACTTCCTCTACTGACAAAAACACAACAAATCCTCATGGAACTGCCTCCGGAACAAAGGCTACAAAATCCTTGCACAGCGCAAACAGAGATTGGTGGTGGGGCTGTAGGAAAATGCAGCCTGCTGGTGTGCCGTACAGGATGCCCTCAGCCCACTTATCGCCTTCCGACACCCGAGCCTTCACCCGGTCTCCCGCACGCCGCAAGTCCGCCTTGCAGATTCGGCCAGATCATGTGGGCTGAAGGCATCAAAAGGCGAAACCACTCGTTGCGGGAAATACGGATCTTGCAACAGACTTGGGCACGGATCTTTGAAGGTCCACCATGCTCCGGATAGTGGACTGCAAGGCAAAACAAGTGCCAAGCGCAGCGAGCGAGCGGTTGCGCTATCGACTCGGGCAACACTGTGCCCACCACGAGCCTAGTTCTATTTCCTGATCAAGAGCTGCTCTCTGCATCTTTCAGCTCTACGTGCTTATAAATTCTGAGACATCCTGGTTGTGGCAACGTGTGCGGGCAGGCACAGCAAGCTCAGAGCCTGGTCAACCCTCGGCCAGGCCTCAGTGCCGCCTTGGCGCTGCTCGTTGTACGCCTGTCGGACGTGAGGATGCACAAAAAGGCCCTTCTGGGCACGAGTCTTAGGGAACCTCAAATGACGTGAATCCCCACCTGAATGATGTCCACCTGAATGACCTTAATACGGCTCTAAGTTGGAGATTGCGTGACCCAAGACCGGCCCTCCAAAACGCCATTTGCACAGTAAATCAGAGGTCGGAATTTTCAAGGTCGGAAGGAAACTGCATCAAAAAGCACCTGGCAAATCAAACTCAGGATGGACCAAAGGCAATAGTTTGCAGTGTGCATGGCAGTGAATACGCATGTCAAAGTCAGGCATCCAATCACCGGAACCTGGGGTTGGCGTCTTCCTGTCAACCCACAGCCCCGCAAAGTGGCATGAGGATACACCCACCCCGTTCTCAAAAAATGATGGGACCGTGTGGGTCAAATGTTAGAATTCAGGAGAGTAAGCCAACTACTCCTCAACAGGGGAGCATGCTTGGCATCCTCAAAAACAGTCCCCGACGCTTTTGGTGCCCATGAAAGGATTTGTGCAATTTGGTTTCTCAGGGATCGTTTTGCTTCAGTGACTCAGTGTAACTGCCTGGCGGACGATTCAATCCGAGTCACGCGGGTGGCTGGCTCAAAATGTTGGGTGCTCCTTCAGAGCAGGTTGTGGCTCAATTACCAAGATGCCGACGTTTGGGAGAGCCTTGCTTTCGCCGCCCAGATGGTTAATGCCGTTACAGGGGCGTTAGTTTCGAGTTCCAAGACAAGCTAGGCCTGCGCTTCAAGGCGTTTCGGGTTGTTTTTTGGGCTGCGAAGGCTTGCGCTCGCCTCTTGCATCTTTAGCATTGGAAATCACTTTTCCTTTTTTTCCGGCGACTACACTCGAAACCAAGAAATCTGCAAATCGCGACGGGGGATCACTATTTTCTTGTTTGTTTTTGATTAGGAAATCACCTTTTCTTGTTTTTTTGCAGGCGACAACCCTCGCTGCACACCACAGCGGGAGATCATGATTTTCTTCTTTTGGTGGGAATGCACTATTTTCTAGCTGTTTTTGCAGGCAACAGCCCTCGAAACCTGGATCTGCAAATCACAACGGGAGTTTCTTGTTTTTGGCAGGCGACAACACGAGATCACAACGGGAGTGCTTTCTTGGAGCGGGACGTCACTATTTTCTCGTTGTTTCTTTGGCAGGCGAGAACCCTCGAAACCTGGAAATCTGCAATTCGCAACGGGAGATCACTTTTCTTGCTTTGTTGGAGCGGGAAATCACTATTTTCTTGCTTCTTTTTGCAGGCGACAACCCTCGCTCCCAGAAAAGCTGCACACCACAGCGGGAGATCATGATTTTCTTCTTTTGGTGGGAATGCACTATTTTCTAGCTGTTTTTGCAGGCAACAGCCCTCGAAACCTGGATCTGCAAATCACAACGGGAGTTTCTTGTTTTTGGCAGGCGACAACACGAGATCACAACGGGAGTGCTTTCTTGGAGCGGGACGTCACTATTTTCTCGTTGTTTCTTTGGCAGGCGAGAACCCTCGAAACCTGGAAATCTGCAATTCGCAACGGGAGATCACTTTTCTTGCTTTGTTGGAGCGGGAAATCACTATTTTCTTGCTTCTTTTGGCAGGCGACAACCCTCGAAACCCGGAAATCTGCAAACCACAACGGGGGATCACTAAACCGCGTCTGCGACTGCCAGGCCTTAAAGCCCCGGTCTGGGCAACCTCTGAACAACCCAACAGAAAAGCGAGAGCTTTGCTGTGGCAATCCTTCGGATTCCGAGGCAGGGGCTTTACAGCCCGAAAGTCGGGCCAAAGTGCGAAAACGAGCTTTCAAAAAAAAAAGAGTTTCGGCAGGGGGGGTGGAGGGGCGGGGGGGGCGGGGGGGCGCCAAGGCCCCCGGCCAAAAAAAACACGGGCCCACGACTGCCAGGCTTTAAAGCCCGAAAGCCTTCGGCCCTCCGGCCGCTGAAGCCCTACAATGAACCCCCCGAACAAAAAGCGAGAGCTTCGGTTTGCCAATCTCTTGTCCGACAGCGTTCGACCTTCGACCGCGCGCAGCTGCTGGGCTGTAAAGCCCAAAAGTCTCCGGGCGCCCGGCCGCCAAAGTGCGAAAACGAGCTCCCCCGCAATTCGCGAGAGGTTCGCCTTTGCAAGCTCACTTGTCTTGCTGCGGTTTTGGCGGGGGGGGCAGAGGCCCCCGGCCAAAAAGAAACGGGCCAAATCGCGATTCTCCCTGTGGCTTTGAATGTGGCAATCTGTTTCAGCAGCGGACGGCGAAGACCGAAAGCGCCAAAAACTCGCGCCCGCGGCGGCCACGCTCGAAAACCCAACAGCCGCCGGGCCCCCGACTAACGAAGTGCGAAAAATTGTGCAAGAGGAAATCAATGATTTTCTCGAGTTTGCGGCAATCTCGGCACTCAGCCGCAAGCGGAAAAGACAGAGAGCATCCGACCTCGCCAAGCTTCGCCGGCCCCGCCAAGCTCCCGAACAACTCGCGAGAGACTCGTCCCCGCCAAACAAACTTCTTCTTCTGGCATTAGCACTCTTTCAGCTGCAAGCAGCAAGACAGACCCTCACGCGCTCGCGGCTGCCAAGCTTTGAAGGCTAGGCCTCCGGAACCGGATCTCCAAAACGAGCTCATACAAACTTTCGACTTTGGAACCCATGTCGGCGCGCGAGTTCGTTCGAAGGGCGCTCGGCTTTCTGGCAAGCATTTTGCCCCAACTGCGCGGCTTTTTGACTGGCCGCGGGCGCAGTCTCAACCCTCGCGTCAACTGTCACAGGGGGCTTGCCTTGACCTCAGCACGCGACTCAATGCAAAAACTGTAAAAGAAGCCTTCCTGCGAGTCATCAGCTCTCGCGGCTCCAAGGTGTAACGTCCTGTCGGCCCCCTGACGGCTTTTCAGCTAAATATTTTTGTCGCAGCTCCCAAGCTTAACGTCCTGTCGGCCACCCGGACGGCTAGTCAATTACTTTTTGTGGCTCCCAAGTTTAACGTCCTGTCGGCCACCCGGACGGCTTGTCAGTCAAAGTTTGTTTAGCGGCTCCCAAGTTTCACGAATGGGTCCCGCTGCCAGCGACCGAGCCCTGGAATGGCAACGGGGCTTTGACAAACTGAAAGCAGAAATCGGAAGTCTCCCGCCAAATGTCTCGAGCTTTGAACTGAAGGAGCAGCCGTGACATACAAATATTGGTTTCGCGACAAAACAACCAACCCCGCAAAAACAAGTTCCACAAGTCTATGCACAATGCTCCCCACTCCTCAACCGCGGCCCTCCCGCCTTGGCAAGCTCCTGATACACTGGCATCAAAGCCATGGCATCGCAGCGCCGCCTTGGCAAGGCGTTTGGAGTGATCCCCCGCGGGTGATCCCCGTCGGATGCAGAGCGTCCGGTATGGCATTGCCTTTGCTTGATGAGGTTGTGTATCAATGTGTGCGTGTGGTGGTGCAATTCTGTGTACATATAGAATTACCCATAGCTCCACAAACATAGTTGTAAGTATATGTACCCTCAACTACACCTATGAGAAGAACATGTACTCCATGAGTACAGCAACAGTGGGGGGATTGCAAGCTTGTGTGGGAAGGAATGTCTCAGCTGGTTTCGATGCCTTCCACGTGCCTCAATCAGGATGTGAATGCACAAGGCTCCATGCGTACAGCAACAGTGTTGGGGGAATTGCAAGCTTGTGTGGGAAGCAATGTCTCAGCTGGTTTCGATGTCTTCCACGTGCATAAAACAGGATGTGAATGCACAAGGTTCATGAACAGGCTTTTATCACAGCGTTCGTATTGTGTACTGAGTCTCATGATCAAGACTGGTCGTTTGACAAAATAATGGAGGCATCAGCCAATGATCACAGGCTGCGTGAGAAATCCAACCCGGACATGTACGCTCATATTGCACAGGCAATCTTCGAATCCCACGTTCAATAGTTAGGTGTTCTGCATCATCTAGCAGTTGCTGGTAGCGTCATTGAACCAAACAATCTCGGACAACTTATTTTGTGGAGAAAAAAAACATACAACTGTGGCTATTGACGGCCAAGGTGCACTTTTCTAAAGATACTGTTCGCAGGTCAACATGCACAAGTTTCTCCACCAACCCTGACACACGCGCACAAACACTTCCCACTCCTTTCCGGACCCTTCCCACGAAGTCCAACGTATTTCCCACCTCCCGCAAGCCTGGCCCTTACTCTCGGTGCAGCTCTCCAGTTCTCCCGAGCCGCTGCAGCGATCGCCAGTTCCAAGGCAGTGAGAGCAGCCGCGTGCCCAAGGCCGCACCCAACACTGCCAACGAGGCGTCTCCAGATGCCTCGTCATGAGAAGCGCTGCTGCTTTTGCCGTCTCCCCGCCTCTCCACGCAAAAAAAGAAGAAGCGCCCAATACGCACACTTTTAGGTTGCAATAGGATATGATGTCAACCCTGACTAAACAAGCCACAGAAAACCAGGTTCTTCAAATACAAAACCCTGCTGAAACAGGCGGGTATCTGGAGCAGGGGCAATATTCATTGTAAGTTGCCGGAGACTCCTTCTGAACTCTTTGAACAATTCGTGCTTAGGGATATGCAACTGTTGAACCGGAATGGCTGACCTCCCAGGTCGCTCGGACTCAAAAACCCCAAAAATAGATTGGGAGGGATCCGTGGGTTGCATTCCTGCATAGAAGCGTAAGAAATGCCACGCAACCACCGTAGGTGTCCTTTTAGGAAAATTTATGGCCCTGGTTAATGGAATAAAACCAAAGGCGTTCGGCCATCTTGGGACTGGGAGATCAGGTCACAGACACACACCCATTTGGTGGACTTTCTGACCGGGGTAGTCACGCAATTGCCCGTCTTCTCCGGACCTGTGTGATGTCTGAGATTTGCCTTACCTGCCCCCTGCTTGCTCCGCATGAACCTGCCGTGCTTGTCGTCCTGAGACTTCCCATCTGCTGGGGCCCTACAGAGACTGCTCTATGGATCAGACACCTCGATCTGAACAAAGCCACATTTTGATTGGTAGAACTTTCGGACGCACAATCCTTCAGACCAAGGACGCCAGCTCCGACCCCATTGGGTCTCGACGGTCCGCCTGGTGCAGCAACATCAAGGACTGCTGCAGCGAATCCGTCAACATCCAGGGCTGGTAGACCTCCAGCGGATCTCCGCCTAGCCGAAACCGAGGAATTGGGAAGGGCTGCAGTACATGGAACATGGTCTTTGGGTTTGTGGTTGGGGCTTGCCCAACGTAACCTTTCAGGACACACACTTGGCACTTTGGCCTATCGGTGGCAAAGGTCAACAGCAGCTTTCATGTGTAGTCACATTTTAGCGACCCAGCGATGGTCAGCGAGGCCTCGATGTTGAAATTGAACAAGAGCGATTCATGCCACATTGACAGTGGCATTGCAGATCCGCATTCCATGGAAAGCCTTCGTCCGGAGCTTAGGCCCTTATTTGTCAACCAATCGCGGCACCTTCAACCACAGGCACCGAGGTAGAGAAGGAATCCTGTCGTCACATGAGCCACAGTCAGAATGTGTGAAAGCTTAAAACGTACATGGAAAATGTAGGGCTCTCTAGTTCGCAGGAAAATTAGTGCCGCCCTGTCTGTGGCAAATTGTTATTTTCGTCCCCCCCCCCCCCGCCGGTTCTTGCAGGGAAACAAGTGGCTCATCTTTCTGTCCCATACTCCAAATTGACTCTACATGGGTATGTGGCAAAATAGATCCCCGCCCCCCAGGTGGGCGGTGTCCTGGCTTGTTTCCCCTTAAACCAACCTGAAAAGGGTGCCCTCATAAAACACAAACCCACAGGTTATTGGAAATGTCCATCGCAACTCACGTTGCGCAAAGCACCTCTTTGATTGACTCGCGCCACGCAGGACAAAGGGTCTTGCTGGACTGAAGCAATACAGGCAAGCAACGCAGTTGCCGGGCAACCATCAACACAAGAACTACATTTGCAGCAAACGTGTGATGCTGAGCCACGTTCGGGCAACAGCCAGCAGCAATGCCGTGCCACCATCTCCGCATCCCCTCACAAACTTGGGATGTTCACAATATCGGAATACACACAAACAAGAGTGCCCGAGCCCCAAGAAAGCTCTCGCCTGAAAGCCGCGCCTGCATCCCGGGCTGCCTCCCGGAGCTTCTTCAGCAGCTCCTCGGCCCCGAACCATAACGCATGAGCAAGTCTGATCGTACCTGTTGCTGTGTTCCACGAAGCAACCTCCCAAAGATCCCGCAGAGGTCAGCATTTCAGCGAAAACACTGCGGACGCCACGAACACACGCAAATGCCAATTAGCCCTAGCGCCTAGTTCTTGTTAGTCGCGTCTGCGCCAACACCCAGCTTCGTGGCTTTCCGTCTCTCGACCAGCAGCTTTGCAACCCTGTCCTCGGAGGGGCCTGACGGAAGGGATCCCACTGGGCCTTTTGTGAGGGGATGACATGGAGTACATTTGCCAAAGCAGAAGTTTGAAAGTGGAACCTGCTCGCCAAACTTGTTTTCAGAAAGCAGTAGCTCTCGCGCAGCCAGGCCCGCGAAGGTGTCAAGTGAAAGATGTTGGAGGCTCCCTCCGCACGAAGGATCTCTGGAACCAATTGGAGACCTCGCAAACCGGCGGCAGAAATTTGCAGAACTGGGCTCAAGAAAATGGCAAGAAGTAAAACTTGATGTAGACCCATTCACCCGAGAGCGCACTTGGCGGCGGAAACTTGCAAAAACTGGGTCAAGAAAGTAATAAGACGTAAAACTTGATCTAGACAAGAGGTTTTAAGGATCATCCACGTGAAGAGTGTTGGATCAACATGAAGAAAGCAACTGAAACAGGCAAACAACAAGAGTCTGGCTGAAACAAAGCAAGCAAGATCGATGTTTCCGAGTTCCAAGACGGCCTGGCCTGTGGACAGCCGACGCGTTCCCAAGACACGCCTGTGCTGGAGCACGGATTGACCCCGGTCCGGCAGAAAAGAAGCTGGAGACAGGGACAAAAAGTACAGGCTTGAGATCGGTATTCAGAACTAATCGGCAACTTTCACTTGCTCGTAGGATGAAAATCCATTTGCAGGGCTCCCTCAGAACATAAGCATCACAAACTGGCTCCCATCGCGCTTCAATCTAGCTCTGAGCAGGCAGGATTCCCCCGTATATAACACAAACTGCTACGTGTCTGAGATTGAAAACATCGGGCTTCGATGTATTGCTCTGGATGCTATCCTTAGCGGCAAACGGCAAACTTGTTGTAGGAAAAAAGCACGACACAACGCAGCAAGAAGTCAGTTCAATCAGCAACGCTGGATGGACACCGAAGACGACAACTTGACAAAGCAGCAGCATTTTGGGGTTGAACGGCCAAATCGCTCAGCTGCCAAGCGAAACCTGATCCAAAACAGGTACCCTGACTTGACTTCGAAGCACATGGCCCAAAAGGGGGCTCTTGATGTTTGTTTAAGTGGGCATGCCTCCAAATGGGGAAACGTCGCCCGCAGTTGGCGTCAACGACCCGAAGAGGACACTGACTCTTGGAAGGAAACGCCCCAATTTTGTAGCTCTTCACCACCTGTTGCACCCGCCTCCCCAGCCTACCATGCCGGCACAGCATGGCAAAGCTAGTATAGGCTCCAGCGCTCGGTGTTCCGAGTCAGGCCCGGTCTCGATTGGAGAAGGTTGGATGGTGAGGGCATGGAATAGAGCGATTGCTTATCCGAGCTGGCTATGCAAGCAGCGGCCTCCTGTGTTTCCTTTCGGCAAATTGTGCTCCTTTTTGTCTTCTCAGATTCTGAATCTGATGGGCTGGCCACATTGATTGACCTGGTTGGTTAGCAGAATTCTTGATTTAACACCACCTTGTGACAGCATGCACTTTGAGCCTCGATTGACACCCTGCAGCTTGGAGACATTCCTAGATCCTAGCCTTGCTGGCCCACCCACAATCGTTGGTGGTTGCATCCCAAGGGCTCCGAATGGTTGGGTCCTTGGCTTGACAACTTGACATGCTCACATGCCACTGTCTTCTTGTACCCTCATTCCAGCCATGGAAGTGGAGGGACTTCGACTCGAACAATCTTCCGTCTTTTATCAACCCAGACCGGTCGTTGGATGGCAATCTCGGGTCAGCTCTTCCTGTTCTTGACCTGACCTCAATAAGGCAAAACTCCGAACAGGGGAATGTACTTGGAACGATCGGTTCTTTTGCCTGTGCTCCTGAATCCGTGGACAGCCCAAGTAGGATGCAAAGTAAGGGAGCCCTTGCTAAGGTGGCTTAAAGGGCAGCTAAAGAAAATATGGCTCAGTTTGGAGGATCCTTGATTTTGACACACTGCTGCCAGCAGTGTCAAACCGTGAAGTGTCGTGTATTTTAAACACCTGTTTACATCCCAAATGGCCACTTGCAGAACTCTCAAACATAGGCCTATGCAAAGGACTTAGATTCAAAACAAATCTGATGTTCAATATAGGTTTGTCTCACAAACATATTTGGTTTCCTGTTTGGCTTACCTTTAAACCAACCTAAAACACTCAAAAAAGACACACCCATACAGTTTGAACATATTCTGAATACACCACTCTCGGGCTACCCCACTCTCCATGCCGCACGGGAGACCGACACCTCAGCCCGCCCCGGCAAGTCGAACATATCGCTTTTTGGGATGCTTTGGGAAACCAAGAGGAAAATCATGGTTTTGGGGTTTTGGGGTCTTCGCTGTTGACCTTCGCTGTTGATGGCTGCATCGAAAACAAAAGGGTTCCTTAATGACAGGATCACTCTTCGCGTCAGTAAGCCTTCAGTCAGCAGCTTTTTTTCTGCTTGAGCAATAGGGGGGGCAGGTCACAAAGGTCACAATACCTGCCCCAATGTTCCCAATTCCAACACCAGCACCACGTTCATGTTCACTTCAGCAGGAAAAACATCATTCAGCCCCTGTCAAAGGACCGGTGGAGGCAGCAAGCGTTACGTCCTCATTGTCAGGGATATGTGTGCTGCACCTCCTCGACGAAGAAACAGGCATAAGTCCAGGTAAGGATCAAGGTTCGACTAGCCATCTTGGCGGTGCCGGAGATTGAGTCTCCTCCTTCCAAAAGGAAAGTCTTCTTCCCAAGGCGATTTAGGAGTTTCCCTGAGAGAGGGTAAATCTTTGAAACCATTGTTTGACACACACACACACACACAGCGGGCGCGCGCATGCGGCCCTTGTCAAACAAGTCTGCCAGGAGCAAAACCGCGCTTCCACTGGCCACCAACATATGCCGCTCCATCTCCCCAAGCAATACCCACCAAACTATCAGCTTCCTGCTAATTGGTGGTGGTTTGGATTGATGACTTGGCGGTTGAGGGTGGTGTGCCTTTTATCCTCTACAACAACCAGGGGCTCAAATCCCCAACCACCAAACAACTAAATCTTCAACATGTACCCAACCGGCAAGGCCTAGCGCTTTCATCGCACAGTCTGCAACTTCTTCTCGGCCACAGGGCAAAGACTTTTCAAACAAACACCCGTCCTTCTGCACGAGGCAACATGGGATAAGCAAACCCAGAACAAAAATCGGAGACGCTCAGCGGGAACAAAAAGAGACCAGAACGCCCTCCGTGATGCCTGACCGGGTGATTCGCCAAACACCCACGCCAACACCGGGCTCCCGGCCGCGGGGCACCTCCGCCTACGGAACCATCCCACAGTGAAGACCCCAAGAAAAAAGTCGCCATGACTGGTTGAAATGGGCGCAACCTTGGAGATCCCTGCAAGTCTACGCAAATCTCAAAAGTGCCTTTCCTCTCAGGTTGCTTAGACTTTAGACATGTCACCATCACTCGTTCCTGAAAGGATGCATACAAGAAACCACCTGTTTAGCGGATACTCGAAATCAGCTGTCCAAGCTAATGTGTTGATTCTCAAATCTTTGACATAGGGGACCCTATGTGTTGGCCGCCGCACGACCAGCAAAGGCATCGAGGGCCGCAAATAACCTTGCATACAATGAGGGACCCCTTTCGGGTCTCTCTCTCTCGCTCTCTCCCCTCTCTCTCTCTCTATATCTCTCTCTCTCTCTCTCTCTCTCTCTCTCTCTCTCTCTCTCTCTCTCTCTCTCCCGTTAAAATACGTTGGTACTTTACTGCAAGTGCAAGTGTTGTTTCTGTTGTCACAAACACAAATGTAGTTAGCCAGCATGCACTCTTTTCCTTGTAGACTCAAGGCCTGCAGTCGGGTAGTGTACATCATGCATGCACAAGTGACAAGTAGCGCAACATGATATTTGACACGGCCCCTTGGTTAAAAGACCTTGTAGTGTCCTTTAACCATAGACCCAAAAGGTGGTATTGACAGTAGTGGCAAAAACGAATGCACATGTTGTTTGCCGATGCTACTGTAGCGAACAGGCATGTAGTCTCTTAAAAAAAAGATGACCGAAGGTAGGTATCTACAGCGCTGCTGTCTGTAGTTCAACTAACCTTCAAATGATCAAAAAGTGAAATTGCTGTACAAGAACCCTAAATGGCTCTCAGTCATCTCGTAGTCGAAGGAAGTTTAGAAGTCTAACTTCCGACAATATCGACAACTCAAGCAGAGCAGTGCAGAGCGAGAGATAGAGAGAGAGAGAGAGAAGAAGAGATGAAGAAGCGATGAAGAGATGAAGAAGCGATGAAGAAAGATGAAGAAGCGATGAAGAAAGATGAAGCATGGTGTGCGAAATGTTAGAAAGGTCGCGAAATGCTGTATTTTTCAATGTTTTGAGCCTCCAGACGGCCCAGAAGTTACTTCGGTAAAGCGGCGGGTGCGGAGCCTTTGGTCGGAATTGCTGGCAAAAAATCGCACGCGGCCTGCGCGCGGTGCACATTTGGAAGTCAAAATCGTAAAAACACTACATGCTCGGGCTACTTTTGGAAGCTCCAACTTTCAAAAATCGCACGCGGCCTGCGCGCGGTGCACATTTGGAAGTCAAAATCGTAAAAACCTGAGAGGGTCGGGCTACTTTTGGAAGCTCCAACTTTCAAAAATCGCACGCGGCCTGCGCGCGGTGCGCGTTTTTAAGATGCAATGTAGCTTGACAGCGGTAAAACGCATTGGAATGGCAACGCGCAAGGCTTTTATCTAACTTGGAAAAATGCGTGGCGCCTGCGCGCGGTGCGCGTTTTTAAGATGCAATGTAGCTTGACAGTGGTAAAACACATTGGAATGGCAACGCGCAAGGCTTTCATCCAATTTGGAAAAAATGCGTGGCGCTTGCGCGCGGTGCGCATTTCTAAGATGGAATGCAGCTTGGCAGTGGTAAAACGCATTGGAATGGCAACGCGCAAGGCATCCTACGCTGCCCTGTTGAGTTAGTCGCGCTCTAGATAGATAGACAGACAGACAGATAGATAGATAGATAGATAGATAGAAAGCTGGAAAGATAGAGAGACAAGTAGACAGATAGATAGAGAGGTAGACAGGCAGATAGATAGGTAGATAGACAGATAGATAGATAGATAGGGAGGTAATGTCGCTGTGACCGTGTGGCGTTTCGGCTCTGTCTTGTCAGTTGCTCCGCGTATGTCATGTTTGTTCAATGTCCCGGTTTTCGTCACCAGCATCACTAGCATCACCACCACCACTGTTCATGTTTGTTCATGTCCCGGCTTCAATCGCGGAGCGGCAACTCACATCACCACCACCACTACCACCACTACACTTTCACCAGCACTCCCACCAGCACCACACACAGGCCGAGAACATGTTAATGTTCTAGTTTGTTGTTTGTCACCAGCCGACCTACCAGCATCACGCTCAGGCGGACAACCTCTTGATGTTTTTTTTTTAGTTTGTGTTCCCACAGAACGCATATACTTCCACAGACACATGCCAGTGACATCGTTTCCTTGTGTATCCCGCACGGTGGAGCGCGTCTTTTCTGACCGCTCCGGACGCCATGGCAGACGCATTTGATAAGACGGTGGCGTTTTTGGCAGCCTACTCGCAGGAGCTTGTGCAAATGAAGAAGCCGACGCTTACAGCTTTGCTCAACAGCAAGCGGCGCAGTCAGGTACCAGAGTGGGAGCGAGCCAGAAATTTCTGCAGACGAAAACTTTCAAGCTTGGAGCCAGCTCAGCAGCAGATTTTGGAAGACTGGGAGTTTGTGCTTTGTGACAAGTCCACGTTGGAGGCTGCGCCTTTTCTGGCCGGCCTTCAACGCTGCTTTTGCCGCGTGGAGGCATTTTTGACAGAGACGGCAGAGGCGATAAGATACTCAAGCAAGCCAAGCTTGCTGGCAGCTTTGCAGAGTCGACACATGCAGGAATTTCAAATGTCGAGCTTTTGCCGTGTTTTCCTGCTGCGCTATAGCGACCGCTTGGCGTCTGCGGAAAAGGATTTTTTGCTTGCAAAGGAAGCTGAGTTGTGTCAAGTGAGTGCTGCGGCAAAAGAAGCTGCAGCATCGCGTCGTGCTCCTGCCTTTGTCGAAGTGCAAGCCTTCTTCGCTCAGAATGCTGTTGAAATTGCTCAGCTACAGAAGCAAAGCTTGTCAGCTGTTGTCAGCAGCAACCGCGCGAATTCCGACACACGTTGGAAGCAAGCTAAGAATTTCTTCGACAGGCACGTGGCATTGTTGAATGCCGACCAGAAAGAG